GAGAATCTTTGTCTTCTTGACATTGAGCCTCAATCCATATTGTAGGCTGCAATCCTTGACACTCTGATGTAAAACATCAACAGTAGGTAAGTATTTTTTTCTGTGCAATAGAATAAAGAACTTTGTTTTCTTTTTGATTCAGAATATTGTATTTTTATTCAGATAATGTACTTCATACATTTTTCATACTGTATTACCATTGTAGATTAAGTTGGTGGTGTCATTGTCACTCGCCCCCCCTCCCCTGCCCCATCTAATGGAGTTCAGGTTGAGCATTAGACTTGGTTCCTGTTGGCATGTAGGTTTGTCAGTAACAGACCCTCAGGTTTCTAAGGCAGCCTCTCCAAGCAGGATTTCTTCTGCACTCTGCACACTGTTTTCTTTAAAGCAGGAAGAAATTACTTTTTCTTCCTAGAAACAAACCATGGGTGGCTGACCCAAGCCTAGTATGTGAGGTTTATGCACACCATTGCGAGAGAAGTCACATAGGAGTGTGAGGCTAGTGCTGTGCAGCCCCATGCATTCTACTGTGCTGATAAACTGACTGCTGCTGTGCACAGTCCATTCTGCTCTCCTCCTCCTGCAGATGCTGTGAGCTGCACGTGAGGCTTGCACATTTCTGGATTGGACAATACTTGCTTGGATGACTGGGCTGCCAGGGAACCCTGAAGGGTCAGGGCAGTGTGCACTCAACACCTGTATTGTCCTGCTGCCCTGCTTCAGGTGAGGCTAGTACTTGGGATATAATGTGGGGGCAACAGCTTATACCCTCCATAGGACCAGCCCATGCTTAAGCTGTGGCGTCCCTGAATACAGCCCTCTGCTTGACCCTCTGCCTATCTAGTGTGATTTACCTAGATACAGATTAGCACCTAGATACAGGTTAGCAATAGGGAACTCTGTCTCTCTCAGGCCTTGTTGCAAACTGCCCTTGAACTGACAGCTTCATTTGTTTTTTCCCCCATTACCATTGTAGCTTGGAAGTAGGAGTGGCATCCACTTCCATAATAGCTTGCCTCCAGAAACCTTATGAACCTGGAGAAAGGATGAAAGTTACACAAGTATTGAGGACTTTCATTCATAGGGTCACTATCAGTCACCTAGGACTCGACAGCACTTAACAACAACAACAACAACAAACAACATTATCTTGGTATTACCAAACTTAATCCATGACTTCTTGGTTATGGCTTATACCTTTATTATACAAATATGACCAAAAGTAACATTTGTGGACTGTTGATTGAGAGTGAATAAAATCTATAATTCACTTCTGGAAATGTCATGAGATATGTGTGGTGTATGTTTGGGTATGCTGTACCAGAATTTGCTTTCATACAATCTCATCATTTCTGGCCATTATATATGTATGTGTGCTATTCCCACAGGCATACTGTTTGTGAAAAATACACAAAAGTAAAAGAATTAGTTTGTTTTAGGTTATAAACAAAATTGACTTCAATTTTATATTTTCCCAACTATTTTCTCATATTGTGAAAGGACTTAATGATGTTTATTCAGAAAAGATGTATCATAGATATTGACCAGCTATGTCAGCATGGGATGTTTTGTTTACCTTTTTTTTGTGTGTCAGAATTGCACTATTTTAAGCCTTTTTAATGGACATTGTAATAAGTACAGTGTATTTAGTAATAATTTTGATCAAAAGCAAAATAGCTGGAAAATAAAATCTCAGGCACTCCTTACCTAGACTAAAGTAAGTTAAAATATACTAAATATTAATAATTTATTTTTTGAGAGTTTCCGCTAAGGCAAATGTGTGTAGCTGTTGAGTTTGAAAAGGTGAGTTCTCCTAGATTTGGCTAAAGGTTGGCTGTGGTTGGTCTGGTTGGTTTTATTTTGCTCACAACCATGTGTGAGCTGCTTGGATTGGTTGGTTCTGAACTGTGGGCTGAGAGCCTCTTGTTGGAGCCAATCAAGGCCTTGTGCACTGGCCTGGGTTTTTAAAATCCATTTGGGCCCGAGGGCCACAGGCCCATGGGCCAAGTATTAATTTGTGTTTATTATGAACATTCTCCTAAGTGGCACAGTACTGCTCTGTTAATTTGCTGTACTGAGGAAACTTGGGATTACTGTGATACTTAACTCTGTGCCATTGGTGTCTCAAATGACATAATGGTTACACATGATTAACTGGTAGAGCTCCCAGATTAAGACAGACTTGGAAGCCAGAGTGGTATCCACTTTTCAAACAATACCCCTCAGAAAACTATGTGAACTTGGAGAAATGATGATAGTTATGAAAATAGGGTTAAGGTCTTTTGTTCATAGGGTCACTATGAGTTATGATTGACTCAACAGCATTTAACAACAACAACATTAGTACTACTTATTAAAATACAGACTATTGAAATAATTTTTTATTTTAAAAGCACTATGTTTTACTTTATCTTAGGACTAAAGTATCTTGCTCCTTTTCGTCAAATAGCTATGCTCCTGGTACAGCCGCTGTTAACAATTTATTGATTAATTTTTCAGAAATGTTCCATGTACAAGTTTAAGTATGTAGCTGTGAGTTTATGTATGAAATTACATAATTATATATCCTATTATCTTTGAAAACTAATACTTTCATAAGCTATTTTTATCAGTTTTAAATGTATTTTTATCTTTTATTGAGAAAAAGTGGATGAATTGGTATACTTATTAAAATATAATTGTCCTTCTCTCCCTCATGTGCTTATTTAAAGTCATGTGCCTAATTATTCTGTTGGCACAAATTACAAATAAAATTTTTCAATATAGTTTTATAGCAGAATAAGCTTTAAAATGTTATTTTTATGAAAATATAGAAAAGTTTGATTTGGAAGATTTTTGTCCATAATAGATATTAATATCCATCAAACAAAAAAAGAATTATTTTAAGGAGTAAGATTACCATATCCATTGTATAGAGGAGAGAGAATTAGAAATGCTTTTCTTTTTTGTTCTGTAATACCATATATTGTTTGAGGTATTTATCTTTTTAAGCAATGAGAAAATGCTACTTTTCTTAAAATAATGATACTATTTTATACTTCTGCTCCTCAAATTGGAACCAGCTTATAGATGACCCACCAGTGGTTTTTCAGTGGCTATAAATCACACCAGAGGAGATTGCCCATCTCTGATGTCAAAAACCCTAAAAATTGGCTTGTCTAGCTGTTAGATTACATGATGTTTGTTGGTGGGGTAGCCAGGGCTGTTGAGGGGAGCTGGAGGCATGGTCTCCAGCTACCATAATTGCAGTGTAGGCTCATGGTCTTGCAAATCATCAACACCTGTGAGACCAACATAAGAGAGAGCTTTCCATACTGTGAGGTACCCTAAAGATGACAGTGTTTGAGAGATTATGAAGAGACTATGGAAAGTCGTTAGCCAGAGGAAAGTCTGATTTATAACTGCTCTGAATTAAAAGGCCACAGTTAAAGATTTTACTTGCTGAATGATTAGCAGAAAAACGGAATTGTAACTACTCTGAGACAATATTGGCTGGATAATTGAGGAGGAAACCAGAGGCTTCTTGCATTTTTGCTGCCGAACTGAACCTGGACTTTGACTAATTCGGGAATTGTACCTTGTTAATCTAGCTTGGGACTGCTAGGATAAACCTAGACTTGCATTGGGTGATAATTCTTTGCCTCTTCTATTCTCTAACTTAATTCTCTAATAAGCCCCACAACTGTGAGTAAAGTCTATGAGTCAGCAATGAGTATTGGATCTAAATCACGGAAAGAAAGAGGTGAAGGAGCATGGCCGATGGCATGTCAGACCGAACAGCTATCAGTTTGCTGTTATGGATGGAGAAGGTTCCACTTTATGAAGTGGGTCTGCACCTTTCGTACTATCTTTTCTCCTATGGCTTGATTTGTGGATTCAAACCATTAGAGAGGTGTAGACTTTAGTTAGTAGTGCAGCTCCTTATGTCCTTTGCCATTAGTGGTTCCTAAAAAAGTGATAGAAAGTATTTTAAAAACACATAGTGGTACAAAGGAATAGCTGGCTGGTATAAATGGTTAACAAACTTGACTGCTAACTGACAGGGTGGAATTTCAAGTCAACTCAGAGGTATCTTCGAAGAAAAATCTGGTGATCTGTTTCTGACAAGTCTATCATTCAAACTCCTATGAAGTGCATTTCTACTCTGACACACAGGGAGTCACCATGAGCGAGAATATTCTCAACAGCAACTGCTCTTCTTGGTCTGGTCTTGTTGTGTGTCATTGAGTTGGAACTGCCTCATAGCTGACCCTCCAGTGAGATTTCAGAGACAGTAGATCACACAGGAGGAGAGTGTCCATTCTTCTCCCATAGAGCAGTTGGTGGATTTGAACTGCATGCTTTGGAATTGCAGCACAGCTTCTTACCACAAGACTTAAGAGCTCTCTTGTTTTTAGTAACGTTTAGAGTCCAGAATGAAGGCTGCATAGTGGAGTGTACTCGGGGGTGGGGGTGGGTGGGAGTGGGATTATATACCAGTGAAAGAATTTTTCTTTTACTTTTCGAAGAAGAGCGAACTGGGGCAGGGGAGGGGTGGGCAGGGAGAAAAGTGCAACAATGAATGAATGGAAATCCAAAATCTCTGTAAACGTTCATGAAAATTAAGAAAATAAAATTTAAAAAAAGATAAGCTTTGAAAAATGTCCTTTTAGCTAAATTCCTTTTATTAATTTTGATTTTAGGCTTGTGTGGATGTCAGAGTCAGTTCAGTATTTTGGCAGCAGATGGAGTTTGCACAGAAGCTCCAGGGTCACCCCAGGTTGCCGCAGTGGTTATCCACACACCCTTCTCATGAAAATCGAGCTGAGAACTTGGATAGACTTATACCTCAGGTGAGCTAACACTATAGAAAGGTAGGAATTATGTTTACTGTCCTATTTCTCTTAATTCTGTTATCTTTTCTGCTTTTATATAGGCTTCTAGCCTGCCAACTATTTTGATTATTACAATTATGATGGTTAAGGTTTAACCCTTTTAGTTTCATGCCTTTGATTTTAACTGACTTGCCTTCTTAAACAGATAAAGCATGTATTTTTTTTCTCCAATGTATGTTATATACTTTCTTAGTGATTATGCTTGATGTTAGAAATATCAGTGTCCTATGCAGAATGTATACATGAGGATTAGTTCCTATAGTGATGTCTGAATTTTTTAGAAAATATATGTTTATATCGGTTTTCTTTATAGCTGTTTATTTCTCCTTAAAGATAGAGTGAAACATGTGCTGTGTAATTTTGGGGTTTTTTTTGGGTAGAATTCATTAATGTATCAAGCAGAGACAGGACTTTCTCTTAAGTAATTTTCACAATCTTTTGATTTGTTAACACCATTTCAAAGTTTTTCTGTGGTTTCTCTATGCCTCAGTACAAAATGAATGTTGGGCATCTTGAAGTCATACTTCATGCTCTCTTTTGTCTCACTTGCATTAAATTTGCCAGTTGGTTATTAAAGCAGAACATGTCTTAGCAATTTAAAAATTGATATGTGACTTTTTGGTAAAGGATTACACACTTATGCAGGTATATTTATAGACATATCTTTCAATATAACTTCAAATAGGTCATGGTTTTTGATATCAGCAGGGTGTTAAATTGAGTACAAAATAACTATCAACACACTAAAGAATATAATTTATCATAAGGGAAATTGAAATATAGTGGTATGTGGCTTAAAGGAAGAAGAATCTATGTCTACTGTGGTATAAGAAACAGGCACAAGAATTATTCGTTTATTTGTTTGGTAAGCATTTATTGGTAGGCATTAATAATCTAATTTATTTACTATTGCTTGGGGTTGAATAAGGAGCAAGAGATCTCTGGTATTTTTTTTTCTTTTCACCCTCTTGTGTACTGTTGAGTTGCCTCTGCCTGGCACAGGTGGAGATTGCCCCTCCTTCTCCAGCAGAGCATCTGGTAGATTCAAACTGTGCTCCTTTGGGATTGCAGCTCAGCTTCTTGCCAGTAGGCTGCCAGAGCTCCCTTACATCTCTGCTATCTTGATTAATGGATGTAACACTCAAGTAATGAAAATAATAAATATATAGAATGTCAAGTGATAATAAGCATATTGGAAAAAAATAAACAGTTGCTGTTTATTAATAAACAGTGAGCTGATGGGCTGAGGAGAGGGACTGGTTCATTATATGGCATTGTCAAAGAAAGTCTCATTGAGTAAAATTGGAATGCAACAGAGAATCAAGTCTTGTTTGGAGAGGATGAGCCTTTGAGGCTGAAGAAGCAACAAGTGCACAGGATTTCAAGTAAGAAAGAGTATGTTTGGTGTATTTAAGGATTATTAAGGCAGACATTGGCTGAAAGGAGGGAGTGCCAGAGGAATGTCTATCTGTGTTTCATTGACTGTGCAGAGGCATTTAACTGTGTGGACCACAGCAGACTGTGGCTGACTCTGAGAAGAATGGTAATCCCAGAACACTTGATCATGCTTATGCAAAATATACTTGGCCTAAGAGGCAGTCGTCAGAAGAGAGCAAGGAAACACTGCCTGGTTGAAAATTGGAAAGGGTGTATGTCAGGGATGTGTCCTATCTCCATACCTTTTCAATCTATACGCAGAAAAAATCATCCAGGAGACTGGGCTATATGAGGAGGAATGTGGATCAGCATTGGAGGAAGAGTCACTGACAACTTGCGTTATGCAGATGACACAGCCCTGTTGCTGAAACTGAGGAGGACCTGAAGCACTTGCTGCAGAAGGTCAAGGACTATGGCCTTTAATATGGATTGAAGCTCAATATCAAGAAAACAATGACTCATCACCAGGCAGATTGGCAGCATCATGATAGATGATGAAGAGATTGAGATTGTTCACAGCTTTGGTTTGCTTGGCTCCACAATCAACACTCTTGGTACCAGCAGCCAGGAAATGAAAAGACAAAATGCATTGGGAAAGTCTGCTGTGAGAGACCTCTCCAGAATACTGAAGAGCAACAATGTCAGTCTGGAGACTCAGGTGCGCCTGATACAGGCCATGATATTTGCAATTACTTGCTATGCATTAGAAAGCTGCACAATGACTGGGGCTGTTAGAAGGAGAGCCTTTGAACTGTGGTGCTGGAGGAGTATTGGATACGCCAAGGACTACAAACAGGTTTGTCCTGGATAGGGTGAAACTAGGCTACTCCTAGGGGGCAAGGATTCTGAAGCTTCTTCTGACATACTCTGGGCATGTTGCAAGGCAGGACCAGTCCTTGGAGAGGGACATCATGCTTAGGAGGGTGGAGGGACAGCGCAGGAGGGGAAGATTGTCGATGAAATGTGTTGCAGACAATGAGATTGGCACAGGATAGAGCAGAGTTTAGGGCTGTTACACATAGGATCGCTATGAGTCACAGGTGGCTCAACAGCACATTAAAAACAACAAGGTAGACGTTGACTCTAAATGGAGTAAAGAAGGAAGAGAATGTTTTAAGGTGGTCTCATAGAGTAGGTGACCAGACCATAAAGGGTCTTGTAAACCATTAAAATGATGAATTTTACTTCATGTAGTATGAGAAACTTGCTCCCCTCTCACTCTCTCTTATTGCCATTGAGTCAGAACAGCTCATAGTTTTGAGCTTTGAGGAGGCTGCAGATCATATGGGAAGAGGTTGTCCATCTTACTTCAGCAGAGTCATTGGTGGATTAGAACTGGCGGGAAGGCACCGTCTTTGGCTGAGCCGCACAGGTCCCCGGGACTATGCCACCAGAGCTCTCTAAAGTGGGACACTGGTCATAATTTGAGCAGAGGGCTTGTTCAGTAACATGATTTATATTAATCACTGGGGCTGACACTAGTGAAATAATGCAGAGTGGAATCAGGAGGACTATTTAGTAGGTGCTTGCAGTAATCTTGTTAAGAGATAATGGTGATATAGATCAAGATGGTAGCAAAATTGGGAAGAGAAGTGATAAGGTTCTGGATATGTTTTGAAAATGTGGTGACAATATTTGATGATTAGTTTGGCTGTTGTTTGTACCTTTAATTTGTATAGGGACAACCAGGTATAGGCTCTTAATTGTTATCATAAATACAGTTCACTTGTACTCTTAATTTGAAGGAAAAAAATGTAAGAAAGAAATAGCAGTGACAGGTTCTTCATATAATGTATAGCAATCATTCTTCTTAAAAGAGCAATAAAGAACTAAGACATTTGCGTTTCAAAAGTGTAACCCAAGGCTTAGGGACTTTTGAACCTTTCTCTAAAGTCATAATAACCACACAGCTTTCTCTTGTACTTTCCTTTTTATATTTTGCTCAGTAAAATTCTAAAAATATATAGTTTGTTTAAAATGAATGATGAATTCTACTAGCCTTTTTTTTATGCCTATAGCATGCTTCAGGATTCCAACTTGAGGCTTGAATTTGTTCCTCAGTTATTTCAACTTAGAAATACTGAGCAAATTCTTCTCATTATATTTTCTAAGTCCAGCTCTGCATGCTTCACTATAATGCTTTGTCTCCTTGAGCTCCCCTTTGAAATCGTTAGTTCTTTTATTCCAGCATTTCTTTCCTTTGTTTTGGCTTATCCTTGTTCAAATACAGTTTTCTGAGTCTCTTCTGACAAACATTCTGGTTTTCTCTTTCTCCTCTGCCTTTGTAATGACCTTTTGATTTCTTCCTGGATGACATCCTTTATGCCACCCTCAGCCCATTTGGTCTTCTATCATTAGTGTTCAGTGCCTCAAACCTTGTCTTGAGCTAGTTTTTAATTTCAGGTGGATTAGACCCAAGGCTATATTTTGCTTTTTGTGATCTTGTTTTACTTTTCTTCAGCTTCAACTTGAACTTACACATCAGTAATTGATGGTCTGATCCATAGTCAGCACTTAGCCTGGTTTTAACTGCTAATACTGAGTTTCTTCAATATTTCTTTCTGCAGATGTACTCAAGTTGCATTCTTTGTGTTGTCCACAAGGTCAAATCCATGTGTATAGTCACTGATTGTGGTGGTGTGGGTTTTTTCCTTTCTTTTGACAGTCCATGGAATATTTTTTAATTCTATTTTATTTATAAAATTCAAATACATTGATTTTGAGAACAGATTCTTCCAATTTTCCTCACCCATCAGATTCTACAACTCTATGATTAATCCTCCATCCCCCTGCACATCCTCATCCCTCTGCTTCTACCTTCCCCACCCCCGGTGGATCGTTATACTCATTCGACAATAATGGTTTGATTTTGCAAACTATTGCCTAACTTGGGGGGGACTGGAGAGCATTATGCTGAGTGAACTAACTCAGTCCCACAAGAACAAATATTGTATAAAACCATTATTGTAGAATGATTGTGCTTTTTAAAGAAGGTATTTGCAATGAATAAACAATTTATTGTGTAAACTTTAATCATTTGATCTCCTGTTTCATTTCTGTCATCAAGTCTAATTTCTGACTACCAATCTTTCTTTGTTTCCAACGTGTGCATTCTAGTCACTTTATTAATGAATCTTGATTGCATATTTGATCAATTTCCAACTGCAAAAATTGATAGAAAACTTCAGTTTCTTCATCTATGGTTTTAGTTATTGATGCATATGTTTAATAATATGTTATAGTAACAATAATAATATATAATAATATTTATAATAATACATAATTTATTTATTTATTTTTTTTTGCGTGACATAATTTATTTTGATATAATATATATTGATAATATATATTATACCCCAGATGAGATAGGATGGTACAATAACTAGGTTAATGGGTGTTGGTGTGATGGAATTAGTGAGACTAGCCCAGGACAGGGCAGGTTTCAGCTCTTATGCTGTACATAAGATCGCTGTGGGTTGTAGATGACTTGATAGCACATAAGAATAACAACATAATAATAT